ACACACTTTCACTGTCCGTGCTAAGGTCTGATGAATCAAAGTCGTCTCCCGAGTCTCCGCTGCTATCACCATCATAAAATTCTGATGCGGACTCATCGGAATCGGTTGAAATTCGCGGTTTCTTAGGGACAGCTGCGCGTGAGGTCGACACCATGTTGGAAACAAAGAGTGCTTGTCAAGTGCAATTAAAAGATGCTTTAAGCATCCCCCCCATGGCGAAAAAACAAACAAAAAATACTAGAGAAACTTGAGATATCACTCACTGTCCGTAAGCGATCTGAATGCGATAAAACTTTAATTAAAACCATCAACAACACACTGCCAATGAGTATAGGTGCAAACAGGAAAATGTTAAAGGGGTGGTGCCAACATTTCTGTGGCTTGCGCGTGGCTGTAGATCTTTCTTATAGATACAGGAAGCATGATACACGCACCAAGATTCATTTATTCTCGCTGAATAAATTAGTATCGCCTTCTTTATGTGGACCAATTTTGGTTTCGGTTTATGGGCACAGAATTGAACTGTGAGTGACGTTGCAGTGTAGCTTGGCCACGTGACCACACAAGGCCGTGACGCACATCTGCTGCTCCCGCTGACTTTCTCATACACACTTACCGCACACGCACCTGCAAATAAATATGTAGCAGCCGTGATGCTTTGCCGGTATGCACATTAGGAGGTTTCCTGAGATCACTTTCCTCGCTAAAATAGGCGTGCTCTCGAGACGGGGATAAGGGGGCGGCCATTCTCATAGCCACCTACGAGGGGAGGTTGTGCAAGCACAGCTACACATATTGGCATAATAGGAAGGGGCGCCGGGACTTAAGGACGGGGCGCAAAGTCAGCGAAGAACCTTTGTTCCCTCTGGAGGGGAAGCCTGTGCACGCCAATGCTCCCTACAGATCTGGTGTAATGTCACCGCAACTTTCGTTAGCCTTCCTAGAGAGCTACGACAGCTCTACAAGCGCTTGCGATGGGCTTCGGTCGGGAGAATGAGCATTTACACTTTGGAGGTGAATTAAAATATATTCAAAATGTCTGTTGTGTCTGACCGTTCATGCGGAGAGTCCTAGCCTGCAGAGGAAAGCCCCAAGACGCTTGTTTTAGCATCGAAACTTGATGGCACCACCCTTTTAATGCCTCGAAATACATTGTAAGAGCTCGTTTGGCTTGCAGTGTGTTCTTAATATCTGATTGTGGCAGTGGCAGTCGAGGATCTTCAGTACTACAACAAACAGCAACAGCAACTTCATCGATTGGTGCTTTTCCTTTCGTGGATACAGGCTGGTAGATCGACCCTAGGTATAGGCGCTGTATTGCGGCTATTGCTGTGAGATGTAGCAGCATAGTAACAGAGACTGGGAAGGTCCTTGGTGTGTACACTGCGTGCCTGCGAGGTAGTCCACAATGTGCAAGGTCGTTCACTTCTCTATGGACGTGGAGCATTAGCGACAAAGCCATGCTGTCACATCTTGCAGTAGTGGCAGTGTGACGGTAGGTGTGGCCGGCTGCCCCACAGCGGTAGCAAAGCAAATAGTCATCATTGATGCACCAGTAGACAACCTTCCTTGGCGCATGGCACCGGCTCACAGGCAGGCAAGATGGTATCAATTATGGTGGCAGGGAGCTGGTGACAAAACTCCGGTGGTGCCGCATCTCGGCACTTTCATGACGGTGGGAGAAAACAGCAGCAGCGTAAGTTATGGCATTAGGTTGAGGCTGAACTCGCTCAAGGATCTCGTCAAGTTGAGGCTGCAGAGGCTTAAGGATCCCCCATGACTACTGAATATCTTCGATTACATTACTGTTTTTGCAATCGAGTCTACTTGAGGCCGTGGTGAAGGTTTATGCAGCACCTACCACACAATTGTTCTGATGGTTTCCCCTTGGTCGTCAGTGCTTAGTTAATGCACTGTGGAATAGCCAGAACGTAGATGCAAATTAGTGTGTTGCTTCGTCCGCATCTTGAGAGACTTCTCTACTGTTGCAGCCCCCATAAGGTAATCGGTGACTTGTCGTGACTTTAGCACCAATTCGGCAAACAGGTCTTTCTAGTCTCACTCTCTGCACACGGAAGCAAACTTTTTTCTCCTCAAGCATGGTAGCATCGGCCAAGTAGAAAAGCCGCTATTATCTCTTCGGTGGAGATGGTGAGGTTTTCATTCTGCAGTTGCACTCTTGCCTCTAGCAAATCAGCAGCCCTTTCCTAGCTAACAATGTTGCTGAAGGTGCCCAAGAGTGTGCTGCAAAACAATCCCCAGCTTTGGAGAGTCAGCTCACAATTCTTGAACCAGGTCCTTGCTGTGCCTTCCAAGCAGGAATAAACGTAACGCAACTTGTCCCAGGGACCCCAGTTTTTGAAAATGGTGACAGTGGTACATTCCAAGCCAACTTTCTCTGTCTACAAAAAACAATCTGTGGAAGATTGGCAGCTCTCTAGGCTGCTGTAGCAGGACAGGTGCATACGCCATGGGTACTGTCACCAAATGTAGTGGTCACGGTCCGGGTCTTCTTGACCTAGTCGAGTAAAGGCTCACATTTTGGTGGTAGCCCTTTGGCTCATGGCTAGTTTGATGATTTGAGATGGATGTGATGCCTTCTTTCCGGCTTGGGTTTGTTTCACAACTTTTCGAGGGTGTGTGAAACACGAATGAACCCGCACCTTCACCAGATGTCACATGGTTGTGACAGTGAAGAGGGCTGTGGCAAGACTGGAAATTACAAAAAACCTTATTTGGATGAGTTTGTGCCTGGCAAATGAAAAGTCAATTAACAAGTGAGTCACACTGTGCCTCGATATCAGTGAGGATAGCCATAAGTAGTCAAGAAATCAGTTCAGTTGATCGATTGATATGCAGGGTTTAACGTCCCAAAACCACCATATGATTATGAGAGACGGCGTACTGGAGGGCTACGGAAATTTCGACGACCTGTGGTTTTTTAGCATGCACTCAAATCTGAGCACACGGGCCTACGGCATTTTTGCCTATATATCGACAATGCCGCCGCTGCAGCCGGGATTCAATCCCGCGACCTGCGGGTCAGCAGCTGAGTACACTAGCCACTGGACCAGCACGGCAGGGCAAAAAAAAATGTCATTTCAGTGATACGGTGAGTCAACACACATGGCATCGAAAATCCAGGACTTTTCATTATTGACTGGGTCAGTTTCAGAATATTCACCATTGCTCGTGTTGCACACTTAAACTTACTAGAACAATCCAAAACAGTTGGGAATGTTCAACACTCTGATGCAGTGAACTAAACAGTGCTTATACAGTGGAACCTCACTACAACGAAACTGAAAGGGTGTGAAAAATATGTTGTTGAAGCGAAAATTTCATTGTAGTGGAATCTAAAAAACATAGCTTACCTAAACTAGCAAAACAAAAGAAAGTTAATTCCTAAAATTAGGAAGTTTTGGCTTCTTTCTTTTCTTTCCCAGCAGCGTCACGCGAGATTTTCACCCGTGCATAACGACGCCATGGTGAAAAGCACTCTAAAACAACGGCCACAACGGTTTTTGTGAGCAAACCTAACAGTTCAACTCACACGCTAACACCAGAAGCAGTGTGCTGTCAGAGTGTATCCGACAATACAGACGGAGGCGTGGTATCTTGGAGCGGTGACTTATGGTTTATTCTATGCTATTCTTATCATCCACTAGTCATGACTGTCCAATTTTGTTGATAGTGCGGACGAACAGCCGCTTTGACCCCACTGCCCATGGGCAATAAGAGCCAATATATTGCATTGCCATCGAAATGGGCCAAATACGGAATCGTTGTGTGATTGCACCCAGCAGCTTTGTGTAGAAAACTATGAACTGAGCGACTGAGCTTCAGCTACCAATTGTCTGCAGCTCAAAAGCAAGCCAGTGGCAAAAGCAGGGCAGTCTCATTGCCGTCGCTATGTTTATTAAACAGCGGTGGTTTCTGGTAGTGCCAATGAGCGCACCTTTTACACACTGTCGACATATTTTTATTATCTGAAAATGCATCAAAATGTTCAAGGTTTTGTTTACTGCACGGTATTAGATATCTGAGCCTGATATTGCATTGCCGAATTTGGTTGCAGCAAAACGGCAAAAGAAAAAGTGTTCATTGTGGCAAGAACACGTATGCAACTCTTATTTATGGACTGCTGCCGGGCAACCAAGAATTTTTCGTTGTAGCGGCAATTTCGCTAAAGCGGCATTCGTTGTCGCGGGGTTTGACTGTACGTGCAACAGGTTGATAACATAAAAGCGGACTTGGAAATATGGTTATCAGGCATCTGCAGGTTTGAGAGACCTGGGATCAATTCTTTTTGCCACTTCTAAGTGCACCTAAATCTAGATACATTGATGTCTCATCCAAATGTGGCTACCATGGCTGGGAATGGCAACTGTGTCCTCAAGCATAGAAGTACATCTCAGCCAACATATGTGCTAGCTGGTAACGTGCTACACTGGGTAGCACTGACAGAACATGTTCCTTTTTGTGGCATTGACTGCTATAATAAGATACAATGAAACTGTACTTAAAGCACAAGATCACTTAATTATAGTTCACTAAAAACATGCATAATAATCCCAGCTACAAATTCTGGAGTATCTGTTCTTCACAAGCTAATCGAAACAATAGTTGTAGGCAGCAAACCAGCATTTCAACCAATATAATACAGAGCTGTGGTACATTGGGCCAGTTCGTTTATCTAGAAACAATGCCAAATATGATTTAATGCCTACTTCTTTTCAGTAATGCTCTGCAGCAATAAAACCATCAGTTTTTAGTCAGTACCTGTCGTGTGTTTCTTCATTCTGCCTAGTCAACTATCTTTTGGCACTGTTTGCATATTTACAAAGAAGTTCACAACGTGCAGATTCAAAAGCAAGGAAAAAAGTTACTGATGATGGCCACCTTTTAATTACACAAGCAGAGTTGGAACAACACAATGCTTTGCCTTTCTTTACAATAGCGGTATAAACAGCAAAAGTCAGTCAGGAAGAGGAACATACCATGGCTTTCTTGTTTTCCGAACGCACTTCTTTAGCTTTTTCCTTGCATGTCTGAAGCTTCCTCTGCAGAACAGACACTGCGGGCAAAGTATCGCGAGGCTTGCATTACAAGGCACAAACGTACAGGTATCTTTTTGACATTATTCAAACACCGCAAAGTTAAGTGTACATGCAAAATGTGCAGGGACACCAGCCTATCTCAAAATAACTGGTACACTGAGGCCTTATATGCCTCGTCAAACAGTAAACAGTAATTAGGAATTTGAGTGGTAAATCCCACTAAAGACACTGAACATCGATTAAAGCATTACAATACAATTAGGAGTGCACTGAACGTAATTGAACACAATAATGGGTAATTATGAAGAATTTTAAAATATTGTTACGGGTGAGAGATCTTTATTGTACAGGCGGGACGATAGATGGTCAGCAGTCAAGGCCTGGCACAGAACACATTTACTAGTTTTTCCTCAACCCCACTTCAACGAAAGTCCCGTATCATTTCCCCCGTTGCAGACGATGCCCACTGGGTGAGTTAGTGTCGCGCATGGTATGGCTTCAACAGGGCGACATGTACGACGTCAGTTTTCCTGGAGCGATGGCCAGGAGATGTGAGGGCGTGATATGATGTACGTAACGTCGCTAAGGCGCGGCAAAACGACGAAGGGACCTGTATACCTGTATAGCAGGTCAGAAACTTTTGATACAAACCACTCTTGCGATATGGAGTTCACAGCCACACCATATCACCTTCGCTGTATGACACATGTCGATGTCGCTTATCGTAGCAAGCCTTTGAACGGTCTTGGGCTGCGAAAGTCCGGAGACGCGCGATGCGCCGTGCCTCCTCTGCGCAACAGAGTGTCTCTGCAAGGGACGAGTTTTCTTGCTCTGAAAACGGGAGAATCGTGTCGAGGGTAGCACGTGGCTCACGGATGTAGAGAAGGTAAAACGGGCTAAAGCCGGTGGTCTCTTGTAGCACAGTGTTGTAGGTGTAGGTCATAAACGATAAAACTTCGTCCCAGTTTTTATGCTTGGAATCAACGTACATAGCGAGTATGTTAATGAGCGTCCTGTTGACACACTCAGTCAAACCGTTGGTCTGTGGATGGTATGAAGTGGGGTGACGAAACTGGGAAGCAGACCGGCGAATCAACTCTTCCACGACGTCGGCTACAAACTGCCGGTCACGGTTGCTGATGATGGCACGAGGGGGCCCATGCCGGAGGATGAAGTAGCATAGCAGGAAGTCACAAACGTGATCAGCTGTTGCGGCAGAGATCGCTGCAGTTTCAGCATACCGAGTGAGGTGGTCTACACAGACTATAATCTAGCGGTTCCCAGTGACAGATCGTGGAAAAGGGCCCATCAAGTCAATACCGATGACCTCAAAGGGAAAAAAGGAGGCGGTATGTGATGGAGAAATCATGGCGGCACACTTGTTGGACTCTTGTACTGTTGACAATGCTCACAGCTGGTCACGTATTTAGCTGTAGCCTGATGCATGCGGGGCCAGTAGAAACGTTTCAGTGTGCAGTGATAGGTCTTGGCAAATCCCATATGCCCAAATGTTGGATCGTTGTGCATAGCTTGCAGCATGTTGGGTCACAATGATTTGGGGGCAACCAAATGTAGGCTGGCCCCCTTTGCTGCGAATTTTCGCTTGTAAAGAATGCCATCCTGCATGACGAATGAGCTCTGATGCGGCTTATCGATGGCAGATGCGAAAAAAGGAGCCAGACTATGGTCTTAGCGTTGCTCTGTATAGAACGCTTCCAAACCTGGAAAACGTGAGTCAAGAGCGGCCAGACAGTCCTCTAAATTGTCGGCGTCGCATTCAGTCGTGGGAAGGGGAAGTCGCGATAGACAGCCAGCGTTCGCGTGACGGCGGCCACTCTTGAAGCAAACATCAAAGTCATATTCTTGCAAACAAAGCGCCCATCGTGCAAGACGACCGGTTGGATCTCGTAGACCAGTGAGCCAACAAAGTGAGTGGTGGTCTGTGACGATGGAGAATCGGCAGCCATAGATGTACAGGTGGAACTTGTGCACGGGGAAGACAGCTGCCAGACTTTCTTGCTCTGTAACAGTGTAATTGCGCTCAGCTTTACTCAAAGAACAGCTCGCGTCGGCAATGACATGTTCAGCAGCGCCGTGACACTGAACTAATACTGCGCCAATACCGATTCCGCTTGCATCACGGTGAATCTCAGTTGGGGCTGATGCGTCGAAATGATGAAAAATAGGCCCAGAAGTGAGTAGAAGTTTCAGCTGTGAAAACAATGACTCGCACTCTTTCATCCACTTGAAGGGTACATCTTTGTTGAGCAGATGAATAAGAGGCTCAGCAACAACGGCAAAAGCTAGGAACAAAGCACCGGAAATACGAACACAGGCCCAGGAAGCTTCGTAGTTCTCGTAGCGAGCGTGGTTGAGGGAAAGTGTTGACCGCGATAATTTTGTGGGGATCAGGCCGAACGGGATGTTTGTCTACGAGATGGTCAAGAACTAGAGTTTCACGATCACCAAAATGGCACTTTCTGGAATTAAAAGTAAGTGCTGCTTTCTCAAGGCATGTGAGAACAACATCAAGTCGACGATTGTGCTCTTCAAACGTGCGGCCAAAGATTACGTCATGAAGATAGCAAAGACATACTTCCCATTTTAAGCCACGGAGAACAGCGTCCATAAAGCGCTCTAACGTGGATGGAGCATTACATAGACCAAGTGGCATGATGTTTAATTCAAATAAACCATCTGGAGTTATAAAAGCCGTTTTTTCTTTATCGGCAGAGTGCATAGTGATTTGCCAATATCCCAATCTTAAGTCTACGGAAGAAAAGTACGAAGCAGAGTGCAAACAATCGATAATGTCGTCGATGCGGGGAAGCGAATATACGTCTTTTTTTGTAACTGAGTTGAGCCGCCGATAATATACACAGAATCTCCAAGACCCATCCTTCTTTTTTACAAGTATAACTGGTGCTGCCGAGGGGCTAGACGATTCTTGTATAACTTTCTTCCAACTGCTCAACAATAACTTCACGCTCCTACGGAGCTACTCTGTATGGTCTCTGACGAATGGGATAGGCGGAACCAGTATCAATCACGTGACGAGTGCGTGAAGGTAGTGCGGAAATTCTGCGGCTATTGAGTGCGAAATCAAAAACGGATGCATGGTTGGAGAGGATTCGAACCAACGCTTGTCTCTTCTCTGGCGATAGCGACTTATTCACCATAGCCATTAGTATGTCATCACTAGGACAAGCCACATCTGACGCATTTTCCTTTTTCCTGTCATTGCTAATGACGGCAATGTTAATGTTGCTCCTGACGTTGAATTCAAACATCTCTCACCCGTAACAATATATAAGGACATACTACACTTCGTTTGTCTTTTAAAGCATGTCGCAGTGTACTTTTCTACAGCAACTAGCGAATGACATCAGCTAAATGTTTCATTTTGCCCAGTGACCATTTCGCGGGCATTCCGGCATACGGCCGCTCCTTTTCCTTTTCCATTCTCTGGTAACGGCACGAGGCGATAGATGGCGCCATGCGCGGCGCGTGTTCTCGGGGGTTGCGAGAATCGGTGAGGCCGAGTGAGGTGCGCGTTGGGAAGGGTCTCTCCTCCGTTGGCCAGCGCCTGGTAAGCACGTGGTGTTCCTTCGCCCACGTCCCCTTTGAGAATCGTCAGATTGTAGCCTGCCTGGGTGCCTAGGCAACCCCGGAGAGCGTGTTTACCCTGAGTGTTAGCTTTGGTACTATACACTAAGCCAAACAGCGGTGCCTAGTGCTTCAAGAGGTCGTACCATGCCAAGTCGCACTTGCTGAAGGCCTACGCATACGAGTTTAGCCCTAACTCTCGCGACCGAGGCCCAATGGCCATCGTGAGAGTGCACAGCATATCCACGAGGGACCTTTTCCAGAACTGCGTGTCAAAGCTCGCCATTGCCAGCAGCGACGCCCTCGCAGTCTCTCCTCTATCGTGAACGTCCACGTGCGGGAGCAGACATTGTACTGTCGTTTGGGGTGCGGCCAAAGGCAATAAAGTGTTTGTGTGTTGCTGTCAATCGAACACTGTCTGTCTTGTCACACCGCACTAAATGCTCTGTTAGTTGAGCGCCCACGGAGCGGTGCACTACACGTGAGTAGGTGACAGAGATGCAACCCTGTGGCTCACTGAGCCTGAACCCGCAGCGGTCTTCCACTACAGTGAGTAGCAAGTCACCACAGGTAATGCCCCATGAGGGTAATGACAAAAAAGAATTACGGCAGAGCTCTTTGTAATAGGTTGGAAGCATTCAACACAATTTCGTTCATTTACGCAATTCACATTGAGCGATATCTGATGGTAATTTTAATCTTTCTGCCATGCTATATCAAATATCACATACGTTGATGTCGTTCCTTACAGACATGAAGCCTGTACAGGGTTTGAATGCGTAGTGCAGGCACTTTTGGCATGCATGCATCTGTCTGTCTGTCTATCCATTGTTAGGAATTCGCTGTGTCACGATGGTAGCGGTGGCGAAGAGCGGCGAGCAGTCAAACGGACTTCGCTGAAGCCTTCGCCCGGAGGCGGAACAGGGAGGCAATCAGTTTTGAAAACAGCAACATGAAGGAGCATTTACTATAGCAGGTTGTGATTTGTACAGAGCCGGCCAGCACGACAACGTCGGCTGGGGCAAAATCCCCAAACATGGGGACGGCACGGCCTTAAATAATGTTTTTGGGTCCTTTTTCTGAGACCAGTTCCCAGTGCTCGGCGGAGGAGACGCAGCCATACCCAGAGCTGGTGGCTCGGCGGAGGAGGCGAAGTTATCCCCGGAACTGCACGGTGCCGCCTTCTGCATGGAAGGTGGTGCTGGGAGGTGGGAGACAGTTCGCCGGAACAGCGCTCGATCTCTTGAGAAGAAGCGCTGCCGAGCGAGGATCATGTCTGTGGCACAACAGCACCCTCGCCGCCAGACAATGCATCTGGAGTTTTGAGCCGTCTAGCGCGGCTCGGAAGGAGGGATGCTGGTTGACCGTCGGTAGCCGTTCCGCTCTCTCCGCACGTGGAGACTTTCATAGCACTGCAGAGGTTCACTGGAACGACGGAGTCGAACACAAAGCCAAACCACTCTGGCCGAGGCAAGCACCCTCCGAATGCTAATCAAATCACCAGACCAGCAGAAACGAAAATATTTCCTCGAGATTAAGCTGAGCTAAAAAATAGCATCACGAGCAACGTATCTCAGGAGGAATATGCAATGCGGACACACCTTTATCTAAGTGTCAGTGCATGACACCACTAAACCAAACAGAATTTTTTTTTCCCGCGAGCGATTCTCGATTGTGACCCAGGCAGATTTGGGACGATCAAAGCTGCTGAGGTTAACTCAATTTAACCCCGAAACTACAATTTAGAATATCAAGCACTTCTGATTCACGCACATTGGCGTCGCTTGCAAGAGTCAGACCGTTAAAGAAAACAAAGTCATTCGATAAGCTCTCGCTCGAAGCGCTCAGCCAATGAGCATCCCAACAAGATAAATCATGCTTAAAGAGGTAAGTAATTAGCACTGAAATTCAAACTTGCGTGTGTTATCCAAAATAAAGTTGACCTATACACTGACGCGCAAACTAACAAGTATATACTGCCGAAGACAGAAGGTATTTTAAACAGAGGCTTTCACTCAGCCTTCTTTGTTAAAATAAAACACACTAACTGCTACCTTTCCAAATATTATGAAAACAAAATTATTCAAACAAACATATCAATGTCTGCTTCTCCGATGACAAGAAAAGTAAAACTTACAAAAATTGAGACTCATTCTCTGTTCATCGGCAGATGACAAAATAAAAAAAAATAATTTTCAAAGCTGATTACAATATCCATTCTTAGTAATGGCAAAACGGGCCCCTCTCAGACGAACTCTGGGGAGTCGCGCACTCCATAGCTTTCAAGGGTTGCAGTCTGGACAAAAGGAAGACGAATCAACTGTTCGCCGAACTCAGTAGCAGCGACTTTTGACAAGCAGCCGCTGAACTCAAACAAGGGGGCATCTGCACTGGATCGTTTACGCCGCCCGTTCGACCAGTGACCATTTCGCCACCATGGGGTTGGCCGTTTGGTGCCGTTTGAGGTATCATTCGGGCGGACAGACAAATATACAGACAGACAGACAGACAGACAGACAGACCGAAATTTTTCCGTCGAAGGTCCCCAAGAAAGGCTATCATCTTTAAAACAAGTACGAAAGGATTTGTCGCGGCTCGTCGAAGCAGTGACCTCTTTATCCACAGTGTGCGGCACAAACCATTATGCCATGAAGCGTACGTTATCAAAGGTGTGGCAAGCCATTTATATACACGACTGTTTGGCAGTCCTCAGAGCGTCGTAGCTTCATGCTGTTTTTGCCATCAATAGCCAGGTGGCACAAAGGTTTCGCGTTGGGTAGAGTTACTGTATATGCTACCTTTCGGTGGCAGAGTTGCGAATAAGTCCGGCGTCTTGCTCGCTGAGATGCCCATGTCATGCAGGAATGCCACATTTTCCGAATGTAGTAGGCGACGCAGCCAAGAGGCTTCGCGCGTTTTCTTGTTCGTTTATAACCCATTGCTGGCGCAATGAGTTTCGCTTCGAAGAAAAGGAAAACTGATAAATATTAGTCTTGAATATTACTGATGCTATAGCTTGTTCAATGACAGTCACCATAGGAAGTTATTTTTTTATATAAATAGCAAACAAGAAAGCCTTGACTTAATTTGTCGATAATGGTGTACACGATTCGCGACAACTTAAGTTCTGCGAATCGCTTGTTTTACGTAGCTTTTCACTGCTTTAAACCATTAAGCAGGTGCCTCCATAAAACAATCGTTAAACTCTCCCTCCGTGTTTTACAAATAACGCAAGCAAACGAGAATTTTCGGCATGCCTATGTGTAGCTGTGGAATCCGGTCATCGTGGCAACTACGCAGCACTGAGTCACGGTGCTGCGCCGCACAGACACCACTAACACGTTCACTAAAAACGGACAACACAAGAAACAATCACAACACCAACGATGAAGTACTTCCGCACTCAGCGGGATCGCCTAGTCGGACTGCTCGGGTTAGGTGACTAGCTTGGGCAGCGGTGGTGGTGGCGCCAGTGGTGCGGCGGTCGCAAACACTCGCATGAACATTTTTCGTGCACATGAGCACAAGATTGTAGTATATCGTGCCTTCTCAGATAGCACCCTGTCAGTACAATACAATCCCTTCCACACAAAAGTGGAAAGGAGTAGTATATACAACACTCCTTCAATGCGTTCTATAAACTTCTTCCTGTGTTGTTTTCCATGCTGTCGTTTCTGCTTGGCACCTGCATTAACCATTGCACACATACTCAGCAATTTGTAGGCGAAGCAAAGATTGCTTTCACATTGCATCTTTTACCGATTATCCTTAAACGAAATGTAATCAAGTGCATATAGGGTAGGCCCACTATTCTTTATGTGCTTGGCCACTGGGTTCGTTTTCGGATAGCGGAAGTCTGGTACCAGCTTCATGAAGCAATAACTGTGCCACAAATGTAAAAAAATGCGATATGAAAGGGCTTCTGCCCAGAGCCTGAGCGTTTGCTTTTTACCAAACCATTTCGCTAGCAGGCGAAAAATTATAATCATATGCAGGAAGCGGCAACAAATAACTGAGGAATAGGCTCACAGCACTCTTTGGCTTAAGACATAAGCATCTTGACCAGCTGTCACATTGTGAACACAGTCGCAAATAATAAGAACTGTGGCTTTTCTAAGTTATTCTTATGAAAAATAAGTACTGGAAACCTTATTCAAGAAAAAGAAAATACATTCTTGTAGTTGGTCTTGTTCATTGACATCATAATATTTTCAATAACTTGGCATTTGCTCAATTTGAACATTTTTGCATTCGTAGTTTTCATTTGTAGTTTTACATTATAAGTTTGTTTCCTGCCCACACAGCATTCCCGAACTGAGATTAAGGAGGCATTCTTCTAAATAATGTGGGGTGATAAGATGGCACCTGCCGTTCCACTATACAATTGGCCTCTTTAAGGGAAAGCAATGTGGTGTTGCACGTACTATAGAAACGTGTTCAGGGGGACAGTTTTGTGGCACGAAGTGCAAGCATTTCTTCCCGGTTTCTTTGAATTAGCCCAACTTCCACTGATCACAGCAAAATATTCTTGCGTTTCCACATACAGCAGTACTTGTAGCGCAAAGGAAAAGAGGAGAGGATGGGATACCAAGTGGTCTCCCACCATCTATGTTCTTTGACACAAATATCACCTCTGCACGATTTCAGTGAGCACTTGCATGCACCTTGTCAGTGTTTGTGCACACTTATCGTGAACCTTTTCAACAGCCAAGTATTGTCTCAGATCATATAATCCTGAAGAGCCAGGAATGCACAGAAAAGAAACGATTGGGGAGTCCAAACATGGTCCACTTGCCTTGGTTTACCAGTGATTTATTCCTGCAAAAAGAAGAAGAAAAAAAAGCAACAGTGAGCATGGTGCCTTGAGGCTGAATGGGGTATAGTACAGGGCTCAGTATAAAAAAGATTGCTAGTCTAGTATATCAATACGGACGCATCACAAACTACTGACCTGTTACAGCAACTGGTTACGGCAATCTCTGTTGTGAGCAAAACGGTTTGGAGTAGAATTCTATACTTTTGGAGCTCTCAGGTTTCCAATTGAAGCATGGAAACCCCAAACCAGAACAGTAACCCATAGCTTAAGCAGAGGTGTATAGTGTTATCATCAATAACAATCATCGTCGTCATTTTCCAACCACCATGCTGTACCTCTCAAACGGCTCATGGCTACAGCTCAAAGCCAGAGCCAGTTAAGACCACGCTCACGCTCCTAGCAGTCTGGACGCCTGTAGTCGCCACTGCTCTGCTCCAGCCATCACCTCATCAAGTGGCAAGATCCGACACGGACACATCGGCCGCCCTAACACCATCTTTTGCCTCCCTCCCTCTTACTACAGGTGCCTACCTGATTATACAATTGTCACAGAACTGCTTATATTTAAGGAGTAATGACCAGAATTTTAAATATTTTTGTACAGTAGAACCTCATTATAACAAAGCAGAATATAACAAACTAATGGGTATAACGAAGCAATTGTAATTAACCATGTAGTTCCCATAGACACCCATGTATTTAAAACATCATTTTAACGAAGTGAAAATTTCCCCACAAGGGATATAACGAACCATTCCTCGTCCACAATGAACATTTACTGATAACTTTAGTATACGTCAATTCTCAATATCTTATAGCGCACGATGGTTTACGTCTCATCACGGCCGCGGTAATTTCAAACTTGCGCCTTGCGCTTCTCGGGAGCCACTTGCCAACACGCGTGTGGGAGTGAGTCTCCCCGCTTCCCTTCTCCTCTGGCATAAATGAACTCGCCCGCGCAGCAACTCACGCGAGCGTGCCCGTCAGCCGGCCTCCCCTCTCCTGTAGAAGTCGTTGACCCGCCCGCGCATCTGACCTTCTCCCCTTCAGCTCAGCACTGGGGCATCGCGCACCGCTGGGGTGGCCAAAATTGTGGCTTTCTTCTTTGTCGTTCGCTGTGGAAGAGCAACACCACCTCTACCAGTTTCTGCCGCTAGACACGAGATGGACAATGGCTGCGGCAAACGTAAGCGCAAAAATATAACAATCAAGCAGAAGTCGGCAATGTTGAAAGCCCTTGAGTCTGGCATCAAGAAAAAAAAAGTGGCCTAAGATTTCGGCGATGTGTGGGTGTTGCGGGCGACCAGGCCCAGACGTTACGGGACGCTCTCTTTGACGCCGGCGTTATGCCTAACTGCAAAAGTTCCTGCATGTACGTCGGTGCCGATGCTGATGCGTTGACAACGGGAATTGTGCCCGCGGTGACGGGCGTGCATGATGACAGTGACGAATGTGTCGACACCCCGGAGCCTAATGTTGGCGAACCCGACGTACCGACGCTTGCGTGAGCGCTGGATGCGACAGACCTGCTAAGCTGCTTCTTGGGCGCTTACCATGACGACGAGGACGGACTCGAAATAGCTGCGGCAGCTGAAAAAGTAGTCATCCAAGAGAGAAAGAGTCGGCAAAAATCTATTGACGACAATTTTTCTTCAAAGTGATCTGTCAGCTGGTGTGCTGATCTGGTGGAAACGAAGTGCATCGTTTTTTTTTTTATTATTATTTTGCTAGTTTTTTGCCTTCCGACGGCCGTTTTAATCTGCGCAGAGGGCAGCTGTGACATTCATTGGCGAGTACATTCTCTCTTGCTGGCTAATTGTTCGTAGAGATAGATATTGGCTATAACGAACTAATTCTTATAATGAAGTAATTACAACTCCCCCTTCAACTTTGTTATAACAAGGTTTTACTGCATTGTTGCTCTATGTGAGAATACGGATTTCAAGAACCCTAGAAATAGCACTGGGGTGCCTGGGGATGCAGTGGGTATATATTTGATACCACTACCCTTGAAAAGACATTCTCAGTTTCAATATCGAGGAAGGCGAATTTCATGTGTCATGGCAGTGTGACGTCATGGGGAGACAGCTATTCGGAGCATACTAGCGGCATATCCACAATGGGCATGTAAACAATGATGAGCGCATTGTCTCCAGAGACCCCCCAAGAGGTATTGCTGTGATTTAGGCTGCAAGCAGGATGCAGAGTTCACAAACTCAGTAGAACTGTATTGACTCATCTGGGTAATGTCCACTGCGGTTGGCCTGGCTCGCTCATGCTCAGTGACGAAAACTATAAATCAAAGAATATATTTTATACTTGTTGGCAGACTACGGTGCATGGAGAAAGTTGACACAGTATTCCAAGAAAATGAAAAACGTCGCTTTTGCAATGCTTTAAAGTCGTGTCAGTACACCTTTAAAACTCATATTTGCATTTTCCTTTAACTGCATTAGCACTGACTGATTAAGGGGTGCAGAATGGTCTCAGACATTGTTTTGTTTATTTCTTCACTGATCTTGATCAAACTGCACAGGATTATGCAGTTTTGTCTGTTGATTTCAAATATTTAATTAGTTTTTCCTGTAACTTATCTTGTTCTTGAGATAACTTAAGTTCACCTCCTATTGTTTAAATCTGCCATAAAAAAGTACTTAATTAAAAGTGGTATTTAGGATATTACTTTTAGACTAATGACTAATGACAATACAGTCTAATGACTATAGATTGAAAGTATGGGAGAGTTCTTTGTTTTTAGGCCTTTATTAGTTATTTTACAGTAAGATGAACTATCCATTTTCAAAAGCAGTTGGACCTGTGTTACAATTTTTATGAGTAATTAATTAAAAAGACTTGTGTTCTAAATTCTGTTCCCTTACTTGCATTCTGTATACACACATACAGGTTTCCACTGCAAAAAGAATTGTTGTACCTGCCCTAGCTGCAGAGATATTGAGGCCTCAAAATTGAACAGTCAAAAATTTACTGTTTTGAGAAAAATGGAAAAAACTGAAAATGCACAGCTTCTTCAAAAAGCAACGATTGTGGTGTGCAAGTTTTGCAGTCCTCATAAAGGTGCTCATAAATTCATAGAAGAGCTTGTAACACAAGTGTCGGCAAATTATAGAGAAGCTTCGAAGTCTGTTCCCCATTTTTTTGCAGGTTCTGCATTGTGCTAGCAACAAGAATCTGGACAGTCAGAATGACATTACAAAAAAAAACCACTCCCTGGTATGTGAAAAATTCCAGAGAGATAGAAAAATACTTGCAGGAAAGGCTTTTTCTCGATAGCTTGACAATGCTACGAGCAGTGGTGGTCCAGCCACTACAGAATTCAAAGCAATTTTGATAGCAGGAAAGAAAGACGTTCTGAAGCAAATTTTAAGCACAAGAAAATATGTTTAGGAGTGAGCGAGTTTGGCGCAGACAAAATGAAGATTAAGACCACACTATGGAGTAGATGTCTACCTTTTTGATTATTAGTCTTATAAGTTCATAGACAGAAAATGCAGCTGCAATGCAAACAAGGAGACAAGGCCAACAGTCTGAGACCAGCCATCAAGCAGGCTTTTTTAAAAGCCTGCTTGATGGCTGGTCTCAGGCACAAAAGGCAAATAACAATTTACATCAGAGTGAAATGTCAATGTTTGAGAACATCTAAAACATCAATATTATCAATACTAATCGGAAAATAAAGGTAAATGCTTGACATCATACGCACAAGCGAGATATTTGAAAATTATCCTGGCGATGTTATGAGTCCTGAGAACAATACTAGTAACCAAAACAGTTGCAATTTTAAAAAATGAGGTTGATCCCTCTTCTAGGAATCGGTATAACACAAAACGTGTCTTCACAGAAGTAGCTGCGCTCCTTCGTGCATTGTTTCGCCACAAGGGCAAAGAAATGAATGCTACAGCAACAAATTGCAAAATCACGCGGAGAACGACAATCAGCTCGAGACTTGCAGCGCACACCTCAAGAAGAGATCACGCACGAAATGAGCATATACAAGACGTGCTCAACACTTAAAGTGCGCTATTCCAACAGAAAGAAATATACTCATGAAACGAATGCTCAAGTATACAGAGGACAGGCACAAGCAACCGTCACAATTTTTTCTTCTTCGTGTGTAACCAGTGTGCTCCTTTCGTGCTCTCCCAAATCAGGAGTATGATAACCGTGCGGAGGGGAGAGGGGACTCCAAGGATGCGGCACTGATCGAAACGCTAGAGGCGGCGACTTTGAAAGCACGCCCAACGGTAGAGTTACTGTATATGCTACTTTTAGGTGGCAGAGTTGTGCCACTGACAGACCTCCCCGCATTCACTCTCATTCGCCAAGCGTGCTCATGTGCACGAAAAATGTTCATGCGAGTGTTTGCGACCGCCGCACCACTGGCACCACCACCACCGCTGCCCAAGCTAGTCGCCTAACCCGAGCAGTCCGGCTAGGCGATCCCGCTGAGTGCGGAAGTACTTCATCGTTGGTGTTGTGATTGTTTCTTGTGTTGTCCGTTTTTAGTGAACGTGTTAGTGGTGTCTGTGCGGCGCAGCACCGTGACTCAGTGCTGCGTAGTTGCCACGATGACCGGATTCCACAGCTACACATAGGCATGCCAAAAATTCTCGTTTGCTTGCGTTATTTGTAAAACACGGAGGGAGAGTTTGATTGTTTTATGGAGGCACCTGCTTAATGGTTTAAAGCAGTGAAAAGCTACGTAAAACAAGCGATTCGCAGAACTTAAGTTGTCGCGAATCGTGTACACCATTATCGACAAATTAAGTCAAGGCTTTCTTGTTTGCTATTTACATAAAAAAATAACTTCCTATGGTGACTGTCATTGAACAAGCTATAGCATCAGTAATATTCAAGACTAATATTTATCAGTTTTCCTTTTCTTCGAAGCGAAACTCATTGCGCCAGCAATGGGTTATAAACGAACAAGGAAAACGCGCGAAGCCTCTTGGCTGCGTCGCCTACTACATTCGGAAAATGTGGC